AAAAAAAAAAAAAAAAAAAAAAAAAAAAAAAAAAAAAAAAAAAAAAAAAGACAAGAGAGAAGAAACCATGGAGGTAAATTACTGGACTGGAAGCCTTTCCACTATAGCCACAATGGTGAACTGACTGCACCGTAGACAAAAGTTTACGATGATGAAGGTAACGATGATGACAGACACACACACTGCGTTAGAGTGACGCGACAGCAAAGTGCTCTCACAGCAGGACGTAACTGATGCTACTTTACCTTTGACAGCTACTAAGCGAACTTCTGTGCAGAGAATTGGAAGGGGGACAAGACATGATAAGATAAGAATTCATTCTTCATAAAAACACACCGTTTTAATTGAAGTCAAAGAGTTCGTCCAATCCCTCTCATTAATTTGACCAGAGCTCCTTTCTCTGCTCTACTGGGAAGCAACTAGATGTATCGTTTATCTGCCCCCCCCCCCCTTATCCAAATCAATAATGAGAATAACTTGGACTAATACAGGCCCTGGGGAGCTTCTGATCTGTCTTCAGCTAATATTGTGTGTGTGTGTGTGTTCGTGTGTGTGTGTGTGTGTGTTTGTGTGTGTGTGTGTGTGTGTGTTTGTGTGACCAGAGCTCCTTTCTCTGCTCTACTGGGAAGCAACTAGATGTATCGTTTATCTGCCCCCCCCCCCCTTATCCAAATCAATAATGAGAATAACTTGGACTAATACAGGCCCTGGGGAGCTTCTGATCTGTCTTCAGCTAATATTGTGTGTGTGTGTGTGTGTGTTTGTGTGTGTTTGTGTGTGTGTGTGAGTGTGTGTGTGTGTTTGTGTGCACGTGTGTGTGTTCGCGCGCGCATACTTTTACGGGCTAACTGTTCGCACAACTGGATAATAACTGCTCTAATTTTTAATTCATGGAACTTCAGGACAAACTGTGGAGCTGCAGGTTGGTGATATAATAAACCCCTCACTTTTGAAATAGGAAGTTTTCGGGTGTTTGGTTTTTCTTTTTTTTTTCTCAATACTAATGGGTAAGAGAATTTTTCCTCTGCCTTGTTCCCTTCTACACTGACGATAAAATGGTTTGAAGAAACAACGCAGCTCTCATAATAATTATTATTATCTATGATAATGGAAATATATCTTGGTCAACAACCTGCCTCATGGGGGAAAATCCAAAAAGCCGTTTGGTTCAATCATTTTTAGTGTATTACAATTGTAGTGTGTATAATATATCCAGCTTGAACGCTTAAAAAAAAAAAGCGAGACACTGGAGCTGAATGCAGAGTAAAGTGTGCAAGAAAATACACACGCGAAAGGGAAGGAAGAACATAGCAGATCGATTATACGTTCAAAGTTGAGTACAGCATAATAAATAGATAAATAAATAAATAAAAACCCGAAGTCACGGGAATTCCCGATCGCCCGGTTGAGTTCGGCGATTCCGTAGCGGGATTTCCCCGAATCACGTTCATTACATTACAGCACACACCGCGGCTCCAGTGAATACAGTATAAGGCATACAGTATGTTATCAAGTTCTAAACAATTGTTCATTTCTTCGACAGTAAATGACAGTAAATCTGGATAAAAATGACTGATCCACTTATGAGTTTTGATTCCGTGTGAGAATTTTAGGACTAAATAAAAATCTAGCTATACAGGAAATTTGACTACCTCGGGAGATTTTGTTGAATAACCTTTTTTTTTAAAAAAAAAAAGCCAATTAATGAACCACTGTAATTCATTTACCCCGAAAAGCTCTCTTCTGAAGAAAGCTAAAAGGATCTTTTACACTGAAACGCAAGATCAGCAAGTCTGTTGGGTCTGAAAAAGGCTCGCGCTTAGAAACAAAGTAAGTAGCAGCAACCCTCATACATTGGGAAAGAGAAGGACCACGAACTGATAAATAATCTGTCTGATGTAATGAAAAATAATCTGCCTGATATAATGAAAAATAATCTGTCTGATGTAAAGATAAATAATATGTCTGGTGTAATAACAAATAATATGTCTGGTGTAATGACAAATAATCTGTCTGATGTAACGAAAAAAAATAATAATCCGTCTATAAGAGACGCTGAAAGCGATGTCGAGTCCTGCAAGCAGTCCAACCTGCTAGTTTTTTCGTTCAACCTGCTCAGAAGAACAATCTGGAAACATAGCCGGGGCTAGCCGACAGTGGTCTATACAAACACATGCTCTCTCTATATAGAGTCAAGTCAAGGCTCGGCCCCAGGGCCTGCATTGCATGCTGCTGCCACTCCCCTAATCCTAATGGCTGGATATATATATGTGAAGAGAGAGAGAGAGAGAG